AATACTGTAGTTAATCAATGAGCTGCACCAAATAGTGGGGTGCACTTTCAGCCATTGGTAAACCATGGTAAATGAAATAAAATGAAGTAAATGAGATCTGTAACCAAGGATTTATAAGTGGCTGTAGGGTTCCTACCATGCTGGCCCAGAGAATACCTGAATGCTGGAGAACATTAGATTTTTTTAAATGAAGCTCTGAATATCATAGCCCCCCCCCTACATATAATTACTTGGAACAATATGCATGTACCCCAAGTCAGCCAGGAAAAGGAAAGTGGTGAGATCCATTTCTACTGTCAATCTGAGTTTCTTGACATTTATATTTGGGGAAACTCTATTTAGTCTATGTTTTGGAACTACTGAAGCATCTACTTTGTAAGTCACAATATCATTTCTTATGCCTCAACAGACCTGGTTGAAAATTGTTACAATAATTCAGTTTTAACATGAATTTTGAAGTAGAAATGTGAAAAGACTAAAGAATTCTAATCTAGAATGTTACAAAAGTCTGATGTATTCTTGGTCAAACTTGTTCCACCTGATTGTTTTTACATTTACAAAATTATTACCTAAAAAAACAGCATTATCAACTTACTACCTAGCTCCAAATAAACACAAAAGGCTGTATTTTTTATTTACTTCTAAGCAGATTCTGACAAAATTGGCAGGCAAAATAGAATGGAAAGGAACTTGCCAAATTTAATCAAATCAGTTCAGGGCTTTAAAAGCAATGGTCCTTTAAACTCTGGATTAGAAAAGACTGTAGACGAAAACAGAATAAAACACTCTTATTAAGTGAAGCACTATGTTAAATGAGATATATCAGGCAAAAAATAAACCCTGTTTAATGCAGCAAGCTAAACACTAACAGCCAGCCTAGTATAGGAAGAAGTGCTAGAGTTTGCCAACCAAAACAAAAAGAACCCTTTGGCCAAAATCCTATTAAAAACAGTCTTGTCCTATCTTGTGACAATATTGAGAGTTGGGTGGGCTGGTTTTGATCACCTGATTATTAAATGGACTCATATTTGAAGACCCAAAATTCAATCACTGAAATTTAATCACTTCTTTAGGTTCAAAACCAAATGCTGATTGCACAGAATGATGAAATGGTAGGTAGACAACAAGGAATGTAAAAAGGTCTCTGATTATCAGTTGTTTCAATCATATGCTGAGGCCTGGCAATCACAGCTTCTAATGGAAACTCCCCAGATATCTTATCCCTGCAGGGAATTCTGGTATTGTTCTGGATCACATTGCAGTCTCCTCTAAAAAGCACAGTGACTATGAAGTAAACAGTTACAGTATTAACATGAAAAGAACAATCAATGCCAGGCATGGCAGAATAGATAAAAAAAGGCTGCAGTAACTTTTGCAGATTAATATAAGCCACCTGGAGAGGACATTTTCCATTTACTGTATTCCTTCATGTTCTTGAAAAGCATTTTTTGTTCATAGCCCCATTCTTGTGCCCTAAAGCAGCGGATCCCTAAGTGGGACCAGAACTTTGTGGGGATCTAGATCACGGGTGTCAAATTCGCCACATCACGTAACGTGTCACAACGTATCGCGACTCTTTTTGCACTGCCGTCAATGGGGTGGGCAGAGCTTTGGTGTGATGAAACCGGCCCGTGGGCCGGCAGTTTGACACCCCTGATCTAGATCCAAACGAAGATCAAAGTGGAATGATTCCATTTTATACCAGACATCCCCAAATTATTCCTCTTTGCCTCTGGTTTCAAGGATTGCTTGAATGTAATGTATCTCTCTAACATCTGAATGTCACTGAAACCAACAGGTTGGATCAATACCCAAGAGAATGGATTCTGCCAAGGAACTGGGTAAAAGAAAAATTGGCCAGCTGAACTTCAGATCATTTTATCTGCTGTATCAGTTGATGACTCTGAGACACTCTACAACTAGCAGTACCAGCCTAGTTAGCAAATGTAGCATGTTATATGGCTTTTATAATCTCTTGAACTATGACAATACATGAAAAAAAATAAATCATTGGTTCTCTCTCTCTCTCTCTCTCTCTCTCTCTCTCTCTCTCTCTCTCTCTCTCTCTCTGTGTGTGTGTGTGTGTGTGTGTGTGTGTGAAGGGGCCGTAACTTTTAGTTCTTTTAATAATTTTGGGAAAATTAGTTCATGGGGAAAAACTTGATCTTTCCAAGTAAAAAACTGAGAATTCAATGAAACTGCATCGGCCAAGTGTTGTGAGAAAACCATGAACGTATTTGCTTAATATTATCTGTTTTATTTAGGAATGAAACTCCTCAGTGAACATGTATAATCCTCATTTTCCTGTCTGTTTCAATGCATTTGTAGTCTATGATTCTATACGCCACCATAGAGCTTTGAAGCAGTTACGGGGAGCCAATATTAAAAACTAACTTTAATATGGGATAGCAAAATAATCATAGCTCATTATACCAGTTATAATTATATATTAATTTTAAAAAAAAAACAAATTATGCAAAGCATTTACAATCAAAAAAACAAACAAAAGTTTATTGAATAAAGTAACATCAAATTAATCAAAATCAAGCCTGAGCCATTTGAACTTGCACTGACCACATGTAACGTGGAGTGACTCCTTTAGAAATCATTTTCCATAGGTGGAAAAACAGCAGAAAAGGACTTGGTCCTCTACAAAAGTGCTCTGGCAACTCCTGGAATTCCCAAGTAGTTTAACTTTCATTATGTTGTAATCCCAATGCAGTTGGGGAGAGTCAGATTGAGAAAAGGCTATGCAACCATTCACATCTGAGCCTTTGGCTACAACACATTTGATTCTGTTTCAGATTAGTAAACAGATAAGATTTACTGCCAACAGTGAAGACATTCTGATGCTACTAAAACAGGAGACCAAATTTGGGATTACAGGTGGTCGTCATTTAACAATCCTAATTGGGATCGGAATTTCCATCACTAAGCAATGCAGTCATTAGGCTGCAACATTTACTGATGGCACTTTCAGTAGTCCTGGCTGTGGTAGTTATCATAGGACATATCATTGTTAGGTGAGAATGAGACCTCACACTTGAACAACTTGCCTCCAGAAGTTGTGATTGCCCCAACACTGGAAGTTTTTAAGAAGGGATTGGACAACCATTTGTCTGAAATGGTATAGGGTTTCCTGCTTAAGCAGGGAGTTTATTTATTTATTTATTT